ATTTCATTAATTTCTGCCCTGATTTTTGTTATTTCTTCTTGTCTGCTGGGTTTTGGTTTTATTTGTTGTTGCTTTTCGAGTGTCTTCAGTTGCAATGTTAAGTTATTTATTTGTGTTCTTTTCGATTTTGTGATGTTGGCACTTAGAGCTATAAACTTCCCTCTACGGACAATTTTCAGCATGTCCCAGAGGTTTTGTTGTGTTGTATTGTCCTTTTCATTTAGTTCCAGGTCTACTTTTATTTCTTTCTTAATTTCCCTTTTGACCCATTCATCATTCAGGAGTGTATTGTTTAATCTCCATGTGTTCATGTGGTGACTAGGGCTTTTTGCGGTGTTGATTGTAAGCTTTATTGCACAGTGGTCTGATAGAATGCATGGGATTATTTCAATCTTTTTGTACTTCTTGAGGTTTGTTTTGTGCCCCCGTATATGGCCGATTTTGGAGAAGGTTCCATGGGATGCTGAGTAGAAAGTGTTTCCTTTGGAGCTTGGGTGGAATACTCAGTAGATATCTATTAGGTCAATTTTATATATTCTACTGTTTAATTCAGATGTCTCTCTGTTAACTCTCTGCCCTGTTGATCTAGAGATAGTGGGGTATTGAAGTCCCCTACTATTAATGAGTTGGGATTAATCTGGGTCATAAAGTCCTGTAGTATTGTTTTTATGAAGTTGGGTGCACCAGAGTTTGGTTAATATATGTTCATGATTGTAATATCTTCTTGATTTATTGTTCCTTTGATCAGAATGAAGTGGCCCTCTTTATCTCTTCCGATTAGTTTTAGTTTAAAGTCTATTTTGTCAGATATTAGAATTGCTACACCTGCTTTGTTCTTAGTACCATTCTCTTGGTATATTTTTTTCTGTACTTTCAGCTTGAGATAGTGCCTGTCCTTGAATGTGAGATGAGTTTCTTGCAGACAACAAAAAGATGGGTTTTGTTTCTTAATCCATTCACCTAGACTGTGCCTTTTGACTGGGGAGTTCAGTCTGTTTATATTTAAAGTTATCAATGAAAGATGAGTATTGAATCCTGTCATTTTCATTTCTGTTTACATTCTTGATATAGCTGTAATTTTCCAAGGTTATACCTTCATTGCATTTCTTTCCGAACCCCTTGGGTATAGTCACTCCTTTCTTCAGCTCTTTGTATTGCTTCCAGAACTCTCTGAATGGCTGCTTTTGTGGACATGAATTCCTTTAGCCTATTTATGTCATGGAAGATTTTTCTTTCCCCTTTGACTATAATAGACATTTTGGCTGGGTATAGTAATCTGGGTTGGCATCTGTGGTCATTTAAAACTGGGAATACTTTGGTCCAGCCTCTTCTGGCTTTAATAGTTTTCAGTGAAAAGTCAGCTGTAGTCCTAATAGGTTTTCCTTTATATGTGACTTACTTTTTCTCTTTTGCAGCTTTCACTATTGTCTCTTTGTTCTGTATGCTTAGTGTTTTACTATGATGTGCTGTGGAGAGTTTTTTTTTCCTCGTCCTGTCTATTTGGTGTTCTATATGCTTCTTGTATTTGTATGGGCATGTCTTTCTTTTATTTGTGGAAAATTTCTTCTATGATTCTGTTGACAATCTGGTCCTTACCATTATCTTGGGATTCTTCTCCTTCCTGTATGCCAATGATTCATAAGTTTGGTCTTTTTATGGTGTCACACAATTCCTGCATATTCCATTCTTGTGCTCTCTTAAATTTTCATACTCTTTGCTTGAGTGGTCTAGTTTGTACACTTTATCTTTCAGTCTTGATATTGTTTTCCATTTCGTTCTTTCTGCTGGAGAGGCTTTTTTCTGTTATTTCAAATTGGCTTATTTGGTTTTCTGTTTCATCCTCAGTTCTCGAGTTCTTTTCAATATGTTTATGAATTCACTTTCAAATTCTGAATTGGCAGGAGTTTATTCCTATCTTCTTTGAGTTCTTTGAGTTCTTTGCATGTTCTTGAATTCTTTTATCATGTTTATAATTGTTCTTTTGAGTTCCATGTCCTGCATTATCTCTAGGGAGTTCTCATTGTACTCCTCTAGAGGACTATTGGTATTTGGTGGGGATATGTTATTTTGGATTTCATGTTATTATTTT